AAATCTGAGAGATTGTCAAATTTGTTAACACAACATCATAGATAAAGGAATTAATAAGAAACAAGGATCTTAACAAGTTTTCTTTATTCACAACTTCAAAGTCTTTTAGTATTACATACCACTGTATACAAAAATTGAAAATGAAAGCGAGCTCATATCTGATTTCATTGATCAATGTATGCATCTCAAAACCCTTTTGAATTTAAAGTCCGTTCCAAAAATTTGGACTCTCGAAGGCATTTAGATTAAACATTTCCATATAGTCAATTCAAAAGTATCTTATATTAATAACAGCTTTGATTTTTGGAGTATGATTGCTCATCATAATTAATCTCTTGGTTCTTCTCAAATGAACCTACTCGAATCAATGTATTAAGACATCTCAAAGTTTACAAACTCTACTTAAATCTTTGATTATCCCCTTAGCAGCAATAGCAAAATCAGATTTTATTTTGCTTCACAAATTAATAAATTACCTTAAATATAAAATTCACAATCAAAAATTAATTTAGATGATCATGAAATTGAAACAGCCTTTGCAATGTTAGATACTGAAAAACAGAAAACCAAAGTGTAAATCTTCGAATAATTAAATAAAGAATTAAATAGCAAGTCAAACTACTCCCAAAAATCCAATAAACTAATTAAATTGACCATTAAAACTAGAACAAGATAATCAATTGAACAATAAATCATATAAGAAAATATAATCAATCCTGAAGATTTGCAATAACAAATTCAAGAATAAGTAGAATGCTCGAATGTATTCATACCCTCAACTCAAAATATTGAAATTTCATAAGTTACCAGTCCATTTCAATTAAAAACCAATTTAAATGATAAATACTTTATGAAAAATGTAAATATTGACAAAATTTAAATGGATTACAAAATTACTCGGAGACAAACTATTAATTTTCTAACAATCTTTAAATGTTTACTAAATCGCGAATCTCAACCAAGCAAATTATTGATATCCAAGGCCAACTTACTCTTGGCCTATCCGTATCTAATGATGGAAGGATAATCATGCGGTTATGACACATTCCTGTTTATAAAGGAGACAAAAATGACTAGTTTTAGTTTTGAAGAATTTGTAAAGATTTTTACCTAAGGCAAAGCATGAGTTAATTTCATTTTTGATATTTTCAATCTAAAATAACATAATAAGTATAAACATGATGGCATATTTTCTTATATTCCTCAAAATTAAGTTATTACTATTATTGAATCATCATCCTAGTAAATATTTATCGTATTTTATAACCAACAATATAAAATAGAAAGGTCAAATATTTGTAATTCAGTATTCAAATATAAGTATTTCAATTTCTTATCTAATATCTATTTCTTATGTTAAAAAATTTATCATATAAAAAGTTCTGCTTTTATGATCGATTTGCAAACTCATAGATTTTAGAATACTACGATTAAATTAAATAGAAAAAAAAAATGAAGATCTAAACTAGTTTTCGAATATTGAATCTGCATGAAATTGATGATTTTATGTTAGATATCTGTTTTGCAAGAGGTGTTGTAGAATGAATTAAAAAACAATAATCAATATTACATTTCTCTTTACATCAAAGTCAATGTATGAAATTACAATTTCATTATTTATTCTAGTTTAATTAATTAATTAATGAATAATAAATAAAAAAAGGGTTGTCAACACGAGGACTTCCCAAGCGGTCCCCCACCTTAGTACTAACCTCGCCTTAAGCCGCTTAACTTCGGAGTTCGAATGGGATCCGGTGCTTTAGGCTTAGTATGGCCGACAACGATATTTACAATTCATCTCTCTATTTATAAGCCTTTACAATGTTTGATTACATTGAAATTTAAAATTTAAATTAATAATTAAAACTATTATTCTCAAAAATTAGAGTATGTTGGAATCTTCTATTTAATAATTTAAAAGACTTCAGAACCCTAATTAATGAGTCAATATACCCCATTATTTTCCAAAACAGTAAGACATTGTCTAATTTGCTCTCCTAAAACTGAATGATTCTATCTCTGCCAAATAGGGACTAGGAACAATTTCAGATATTTATTCAGATGAGATCCAACAACATTCGATAAAGACCTAAATTAACAGAAGTGCCTACATCAAAATTTTTATTGCAGAGCCAAATACTTTGTCACTTTTGGAACTCAATGCACTTCTTAATGGTAACACTAATTTTGGAAGAACGTAGATGATTTTTTCCTACGCAGCCTAATTTTTATTTGAAGCTATTACTTCGTTTTATAGCATGAATTAAATAGCAGTTGTGGCTATTGCTAAATAAGGATGAACATCTTCTAATAATCCATTAAAACATGTAACTAATACTGGATCATATGGTATGGTTTAGATGTTTACATCTTGAATCCATTAGATTTTCATATTCCCTTGAGTATTATAATTAATCTTGCAAGGGATTCCACCTGCTTCATAGACATAAGCAAATGAATTTCTAATTTTATTGATTGCATTTACATATCACGCTAATATTTATTAGAGAAAGGATCAACCATCCTGATTTTCTTTGTTACTAGTGGTTTTTTTTCGCTCTTTTGATGCTTGTATGCAATCATCATCTTTTCGGCCATTTGGGAATTCAGTAAATTATTTGAGTAATTTTAATTGTAATCAGCAGCCACATAATTTCTATGTATTTGATTCATTCTTTATTCGTTTGAATTGATCTTCGGACTCTACTTATACATCATATATTTAACAAAATTTAATATTAATACTATATTCATTATAATTTTTTTTGAAGATAGTAACACAATGACTTTATATCATTTTTCATCAGATATTCACTATTAACCCATCTATTCTTGGGAATTATACCTAATAAAAAGTAAGAATCAAACAATTACCATTGGGTCTCTTTTGCCACAATACGTAATACATTTTTTCTCCCTTTTCCTTGGTTTGAACTGCTTGCCCAATCTTTTCCAATTAATCCCCAAACTCGAATCCACCTTCGGTTTATGATTTGATTTCAGTATATTTCTGGGATTATTCTGACGAAGACTCTTAAATAATTTCAGAATCCTGCTATAAACTAGGTTACAAACACTTCGAATTTTATTAAGATGTCTGTATTAATTAGACAATCTCATTTTGCTATTTCTTCATGAGGTCGATTTCCGATTTTAATTCATCAATCTAATTTTGTAATTTATTGATTTGCTCTGATTGGTATTAATACTAATTTTGTTTGGATAGAGTAGGTGCCCCTATAAAATCTTCTAATTGAGGTGGTTAATCGTTTTCAATATGATAAAAGTTGGATCCAAATGTTTTTACTTTTTCCTCGAATTAATGTAAAAACTATGCTAAATTTGGTATCTTTTCTGGTTTTTCCCAAGTGCAATCTCTATTATTATATCCTTACCATTTAACAAGATAATATTTCTAACCATTGTACTATTTATAGTCAAGTATCTCATCTATTAAATACAATCCTCTCTTTTTTTTTGACATCAATAATTTGTTATTTTTTTAAATCAAAATTCATTTTATATACTTATAATTAAAACTCAATTAAACAAGTTTATGATGAGAGCACTAAAAATACTAGTTTACAACTTTGTGAGAAATAAATGAATTAAATATGTCATGAATTTCCTGTATAAATATTTGGTAATAAATTGCGATTGTTATTATGTTTTTACATTCTCATATACTCTTCAATTTCAAATGACATCTCTTCAGATTTTAATTTATATCCTTCGAAGTTCTCGTCATTAAAATTTGGAAATGCATACTATAGTTATTTCACTTAACTTATTCTTTGAACTTGCGGAAAAATAAATTTTTATCTTGGAATATGATCTGAAATAGACAACCCTCTCATTTCTTTTGGCTTGTAATCCTTATTGTTTTTGCTGACTCTAATAATGGCATTTTGTTTAGGGGAACCATTGTTTTCAATTAATTAGTTTACTGATTCATTTATAGGAACTGAATTCTTTTTCCTTTTCATTGCAATAATACCTACTGCTTTATATTGATTATTTTTTAATCCTGGAGAATATAATTGACTTGGTGATTATTACAAAAAGTGGTTGTATCTGTGCTTCGATAATGATATCTTTTTTTTCTCTTTCTTCGAAGGTGATGAAATAAATGCATTCTTAGGTATATTGTCTCTATCCATATATTCATCAAACATTAATTCTTAGACTAGTTATTAAACAGATCTGTTGCAGAAGTTTTGAGGTAACTAAAAAATCATATAATATAATATATTTTAAATTGATTTCTTTTCTTATTGAGAAATTGTATGATGTACTAAATCTTAATTTAAAATTGACTGTTAAGTAATCAGCCAGATTAATGAATATAATGTCAATCCTTAATTTTAACTTTTTTTTTGATACTTTTTTTTAATATAAGTACTAAACCTCTAAATTTGATTATAAGACCATTTGAACTATCTTTTCCTAGCTTAATGATTCTAAAATACATAAATCTTTTTTATATAGGCCTTAAGTAATAATTACTATAAGCTCTTTAATCCTTTTTGATTACCCTTTCCAACACCTCCTTAAAACTCCCAATAAAAATTATTCCATAATTTCCTTCTCACTAATATAACATCAATAATTATAGAAATTGATTTATACTATCTAACTTTTCATTCATAAATAGAATTGAATGCTATAAATAATTATAGTATTTATAAATAAGATAAAATCAATAATGTCAACTTTAGAAATCGAAAACAAAGAGCTTAAATAATAATTAGAATCCCTTGATAAAACATATAAAATTTTAACTGAAGAGCTTAAAATATATAAAGAGAACATGAAACAATATGATAAAGAAAAATAAGTATTGATGGAAGAAAAAATAAAATTGTAATAAGAGAGCAAAGAAACAAAAAGCACTGAATTTGAGAAGAAAATTAAATCTATAATAGAGAAATTGCCTTGCCAGATTGAAATAAATAGTCTAAGGCAAATTTCAGCTTCTACAATTAATAAAGCAAAGAGTGCATTAAATAATCTGGCTATTGCATATAAAAATGCGTATAATTAAGATTTTCATAAACGCTTAAGTGATAGACCTTAATAATTGTTTGAATCCTTTTACATAGTAGGAGGAAAACACAAAGAATCGGACGAAAAATAAGAATTTTAAAAACAATAAGATGTTGATTTAAAACCAAAAATTTTATTGAAATAATATAAATATGATATATCTTCATAAGAGAGACTTTATTTAGAGGGTATAGAATCTGGCTTTGAAGGAATTTTTAAAAATTTATTAGAAGTTGAAAAACTTGATGATATTAATAAGATTGAACAAACAATTATTTAGTATTTTATTATTAAATATTTAGATCTGTTAACCAAAAAAATAGGATGGATAATTAATTTTTCTTTATGAATTTACGAAGTATGTATCATGATTTTGATAAGTATTTTGTACCTTCCAACATGTAATTAATTACTGAAATAAACAATGATAAATAATTATTCCTTATTTTATTTGGTGTTGATGATTTTATAACTAGTTTTAAATAAGATCGCTTCAGGTTTTGGAAGCTGAAAAAATATTATTGTTTTTTGACATATTTTCCAATTTTCGAGATATTTGAATAAGTTTTACAATTTGTCGACAGTATTTTAATAATTATACTAATTTAGACATAATTCAAACCTAAAGAAAAGGTTTTTAATAGCAATTAAACAATTAATCGAAATTAGGATAACATGAAAAATTATTAGAAATAAGATTTAAGTAAAAAATATATTAAGATTATGATTCTTTCAATATTATCCAAGTATTTCAATTATCTAATTTATTAGGCAAGTAAAGACACAATATCAAGATATTTATGTGATCTATCAAAAAAATATCTTAGTTAAAATTAACCTAATTTAGATTTTAAATTTATAAGTAATTTAACAAACTAGAGCAATTAAATCCTATAATAACATCTTACTTATTCTGTTACTAATGATATTAGAATAACAAATATGTTGAGAGCGACTCACGTTGTGATGTAGATATTTTGTAATGAATCAAAAGACTTTTTTTAAATTTTAACTGAAATCCTCAGGGAATAATAAATTATTTTTTGTTGTGAAAACAAAAGCATTTTAGTTGAAGTTTGCTACTTCTTTCATAAAATAATTTACCCTTTTATTTATTTCTAACCTGTGCTTTACTATACCAAAATGAATGTATTGAAATAAACGCTAAATTAAGAAAATCCATTTATAATAGGAATTAATAAAAGTGTTGATAAATTGTATATTAAGCTTGCAAAAATGGATTCAGAAATTTTTAAATCAAAAGCTCTAACTCTTGTTGAATTGCATAACATGAAAGCTACCATACACTAATATAAACATACAGATCAGATTCAATAGCTATTTCCAGATCTGAATCAAATAAAATAGTTATTTCCGGATAATGAATTTCAAGAAATCTTCAACAATTATACAAAAGTTCCCCTAAAATTTTAGACAAAAAAATGTTAGGATTTGTTATCTACAATTAAGATGAAGATAGAGAATGATTTTATTAAACAAATTGTACCAAGTCAAGATCCAATGTTTGTTACTAATGGTAAATTAAATTAAAGGCTTATTAAAGAGTTTATAAATAATAAACTT